ATTGAAGGTCAGTGTGGGGAAGCATAATTTCTTCAGTGATGGAATTTTTTCCACACAGTCTGTTCTAAATTTTTCACACTAACAGATTAAACCCCTTTTTGTGACAGACAGCCAGCCACACAATGTGGCCTTTTTTTATGAGAACGTTCTTGTAAAAGAGTAAATTTAGGAGCTTTACAGATACAGAAATACCTTTATTAAGCAGAACTCATATCAAATAATCAGCGCAGCCCAAACCTCTCTTTCCATGTTTTTTGTACAATGAACTGGTAGAAGTTGACCCTAGCAAGGGTCATGTGGGTGCCTGATTAATACAGCTTTCACTAAAGTATTAAAAAACAAACAAACAATACACTCACTACAATGTGTATGCAAAAAAAAATGTGTTAATGCATGTACAGATTATTTATCCAAAATTCACAACTTTTTCCAGGCTTTTTCTAAAACAACAATTTTTTTCCAGACGCAAGGTTATAAAATACATGTACTACATGTGATCAAAGCGCACGAACAAAGCTTCTTCCATGACGTGTAGGTGAGATTGAATAAGATTTGACCAACACAAAAAAAATTTCACTTGTGAAGCACTTGTTGTAGCTTTCAAAAAAACTCAAGACTTTTTACCATTTTTTCAAGACTTTCCCTCTATTTTCCAGACTTTTTCCAGGTCTGGAAAATTGCCGGGCCAATTTCAAGAATTTTTCAAAAATTCAACTCTGTACGAACCCTGATTGTATAACTTAAGATTATTAAATACCAATGTTTTCAAGTTTTGTTTTAGACCACCCTTTGAGCAGAGCCTCTTTTTGTCTTCTTGATCGAGGAGGAGAAAAGCAGGCTCTTCCTGTATCGCCTCAAACCTTTGAGGTTGCCACAGCCCAAACTTCTGGACTTTTTTAGTGCGAGCATCCGTTTAAAGATAAACCAATGGACTTAACCGAGCCCTTGCTCAATAAAGATCTTACTCAATTCATGTAGAGTCTTTCTCGAGTACACCAAATTCAAGCAAGAGAAAGAACGGAGCCAGCAGCCATTGCTGGCAGGGTGACTTTAGAATAGCTTGGCACTTTACAACTTTACAGCTTCAAAACAAATACAATCAATTGATCAAGCAAAAACATTTAAAGTGATACTGCAGTAAAAAAGATGGATTATTACACTGCTTTCATCTTAACAAATGTCCTTAGGATATCCTTTGGAATTCGTAGAGTTGCAATCGCCCACGGAGGGAAATTGTCATCACCTGAACTACAACATGAAGCACAAGGTTGCAGTTCACTCTTGTCAAAATCATACCTATACAAGGAGATCTCATCACCCTTCCGGCATGTCACATAAATATTTTCTTTAAAACTCACAGCACTCATTGCACATAGCCAGTTTGCATTTTGAAGAATGGACCACACATTTGATGTTGGGTCATACATTTCAATACAACTTGAGAAAGTTTCAATTCCATTGCTGACCAAGAATCCTCCAAACAAAAACACTTTCCCTTTCACAACAGCACCACAAGAGAACATCTTTCTTTCAGAAGTTGGACCAACTTTACTCCAAGAGTTTCTTTCAGGGTCATATGTTTCCACCAAGTCTAGCAATTCATCACCAGACTTGCCTGCTATTGCATACAGAGACTTTTGATCTGCGACAGCACAGACACCCCACCTTGCGACACTCATAGGTGCTACCTCCTGCCACAGGTTTGTCTCAGGATTGTACCTGTGCACGCGCTTACTTTCATCACCACCAGTGGACATTCCACCAAATTAAATAGAGACAACCTTGGAAATTAACAACTGCATAGAAAGTATCTTCTGCATGCTCTTCCATAGGATCCCAAGAATTGACTAATGGATCATAACGTTTCAGTTCAGTGGTATCACCATCACCACTTATTATCATGATGTATAATTTTCCATGACAAGTATCCATACAAGTGCCAGGTAATTGTCCTTTCGTTCGCATATCTGCCATCTTGTAGCATCTGTTATCTGAAGGAATGTAGCAATACGTTTTATCCAATCCACAGACAACAAGCCCATCTTCATAACTCTTGAGGCAGTTCCTTGGTGGTTTGGCAAAATAGCAATCTTCTCTGCCACTTGAGACCTCTTTCATTGCATTTAAAACAAACTCTGTGCAAACTGCACTGCCTTTCACAAGAGGATGTGGTAAAATCACATTGAGCACAAAACTGCGTGACATGTAAGCGACACGAACGTGACGAAACAATTCATAAAACTTACATTCTTTATGATCACGCCCTTCCGTCCACTTCGAGATCACGTGAAAAACTTCTTCCTCGCTTTTCACTTGAATTTCATCACTTGAAATCCACTCTTCCACTTGTTCACATTTCAAATTCTGAAAATCTTCTGATTTTGCAACACTCATAAAGTTTGCAAAGATGAAATCACTCGCTTGTTTTTGCAAGTCGGGGCACTGGTACTTGATGGCGGAGTAATAGGCCATTAAGCAGCTCGAAGAAGACAATGTTTGAGAAATAAATTCCACTGACGTCACTTTCAAATTGGGAACAATTAGAAAATCAGCCAGTTGTAGCAAATCAAAGACATTTTGTTCATTGATGTCAACATGTCCCGTGTAGAGATATTCCAACACTTCTCCCATTACAGCCTTGCTCGTTTGTTCCAGTTTGATCACTCCTTCTTTCTTTTCTGTCATGTCAATGTTTAGCGCATTGTAAAAGAACGGACTCGCTGCGCATAACACGATTTTATGGGCTTTCAAGCGAGCTTGATGATCTCCCGAACCAACTTCTAGAATCACATCGCAGAGATGTTCATTCCTTCGTTGAATATTGAGGCGTTTCATCACCTCCACACAAAACTGATGTTGCTCATTGTCTCCTGCTACTGGTTGGAGAAGTGAATCCATGTGTTGATTACTGAATTTAAGTGGATAGACCAAAAAATAACAAGAGAAATCACTTCAAGTTTGCGCGCAAATGTTCCACTGAGGACACAAGTAGATACTTCATATATGTAACTACCAATCTTTTAGTCAGAGTCCAAGAGCTTTTTGGACAGCGGGTGTCAAGAACCATATGCATAAGTCCCTCCAAATATAAGCCCCCCAAACCGGTAACGCAAAAAACCCTCCGTTAAATTGCCCCTCCAAATATAAGCCCCCCAGGGGCTTTTACTTGGAAATTGCCCTCAAGTACAAAGTAAAACACAGCAAAAACGGTAAATTTCCTTCCAACCACAAGGCTAGCCCAATCGATTTTGAAACGCAAATTTCCCTCCATAGATAAGCCGCTCCGAATATAAACCCCTCCAAAAATAAGCCCCTCAAAAAGGGCCCTTGAAAAATATAAGCCCCGGGGCTTATTTTCGGGATTTTACGGTATTTGACTAGGTACACCTATCGATAGAGCGCCAACGAGCAAATCATGCGTATTTTGCATCGGAATAAAATTCTTTTTTCCCCCATCTAACCGTTTCTTGGTCCCTTCCTATTGCAAGGATTATTTTCTTGAAAAGGTGTTATGCATGTAACACTTTATGAGGTTTCTGAGGAGAGTCAGTTCTCAGATTCAGTCTGGTGGCTTTACGAACCTGCCCAAAAAGAAAAAGTCAAACTACCCTTTAGATAACTTTTTGTACTTTACATGGGAGTGGCCTGTATGTCCTATATGGTGTTCGGCAAAAAACTTGATAAAATAGAAATATTAGCGCGTACCCAAGAGTTAAAAAGGGATACAAACAAGCGGATGTCAGTGGTCTAATCAAATGCTTCATAGCATATGGCATGGACCAAAACAAACTACACGTATTCGCTAAGTTGAACTACTGACTGACTGCTATAGTCAGGAGTCTATGTCATTTAAAAACCTCTGTCGACGCTCTCATACTAATTTATGAATGTTTTTAGCACGGGCTACGTGACTGTGTACTGTATAGAGAAGGTGACCCATAAATTGGGGAAATGATCCCTGACTTTTGGCATAATAATAAGATAGGAATTCGTATCAGTGGGAATGTGACAAACAGCTTTTTATAATGCCAAAAAAAAGAAGAATTAAACTAACTGAATGAGTTGTCTTAGTTCTATTATATAATTTTCTATGTTGCAGTTTGTGGGTTTTTTTTAAGGCTGGTTTAAGTGGTTTTGCCGACTAAATATTAGGAAGTTTTATAAATTTACTGAACATTTAGACTCAAAGGCTGAAAAGAATTTCACAATGTTACACACCTGAAGGCCAATAAACTCCGTCACAATATAAATTTCAGCAGCATGTGTGTTTTAGTCAATTTTCAGTTTCAGTTTTTATTTTTCCACTGTTTTGGGGTGTGGTAATGTATGGATATAAAACAAAAGAAAAACAAAAATTAACGAAACATATATTTAAGAGCCAATGTCAGTAAAAACCAGACAACATCAAATATTTGTGGCAACGGTCAAAAAATCGATTTCGCTCATACTTTCAAGTTTGATACCCTATCATATTAGAAGAACCCCTGTGCAGTTTGTTTTGAAAAATATTTTTTCGTTGGGGAGAAATTGACATTTTTGCAAGAGAGGGTAAATATGCTAATTTGATAGCTTAAAATTATGCAAGTTTGTCGATCTCTAGAAAATCGAATAAGCTGTATTTAATCTTT